TTGTTCTTCAGAAATCATATTCTGGGTTGCTATAAGTTGCAATTGACTCAATGGGACTTAAAAACAACACGGTGTATAAAATTACACTTGGAAAAACAACAACAACAACAATATAATAAATAAATAAATAAATAAACAAACACAAGATTATGATTGATCACACAAGTTTGAAAAGCAGTAAATGGGTCAGATTGTTGTTAAACTAAAAAATGAAAGAAAACTAAAACTAGTTTATGAACACAAAAAGAGTTTGAAAAGAAAATCAGAATATAATACAGAAAATACAGAAATGAAATGTCTTCACATATATACACAGTCACACACACATGAAAGATATGATAGATTAATGGATATGGCAAATAAAGAAAAAAGAAATAAAAACAAGGAAAAGATAGAACAATTTCATGGTAATGAATATTTTAAAAATATATATGAATCCCTTCATTCATGAAGAAAAATTTCTCCCAAACCACTGGATAGGTTTGAATCATAAACTTATAGGTAAATAGCTGAGTATAACCATTTTGTCAGAATAGATGAAGTTGAAGAGAATTATAAGAACATGAGAGCCAACTTACAACCTTGAGTATATCCAATTTGAATTTAGAAACCATCTCAAAAATAGATTTGATACATTGAGCATTAATGACCAAAGACTAGTCAATTTGTGAAATTACATCAAAGATATAGTGCATGAAGAAAACAAAAAGAGAAGCACAAAATAGATGTCACAGGAGATTTTGAAGCTTTCTTTTTAAGGTAGAATAGCTCAAGATGGATTGACACACTGACTACAATTATGAATTCAAATGTAAGAGTGATTCTGAGGATAGTGTGGGACCACGCAGTGTTTCATTCTATTGTACATAAGGTCACTACAAGTGGGAACCTACTTGATGGCATCTGAAAACAGCAACAAGGAATTGTTGGAAGAACTGTTGAGACAATCTCCCAAAAGAATAACATCAGTAACAAAAAAAAAAGTGAATATTGGGGGGAAAAAATAGATGAGAAAAATACCAATAAATGAAAAATACCAATAAATGACTTGTAAATCCCCCAAAGCAGAAAATAAAGGAAAGGGAATTACATTATCAAACAAAAATTGATA